CTCGCATCCTACAGTGACTAAAATCAAACATTTCGATCAAGTAACCTGTGAGTTCTATGTCAGCGAAGTCGTTTTTATTAAGCATCGAGTGACTATATAAATAATTTAGGACTGTCTTAATTCGAGACCCTATGTCACTGTAATCTAAATCGTATTGTTTGTGTGGGATCCCCAACCGACACATGTGGTTGACGCAATCCAGTTCTTCGTAGGATGTGAACATCAACATGACTTCAATCTCGCACTGTCGCTCATATCAACTTCTTTTCTCTGGGTTCGAGGAAGGCGGCAGTGAGGAGGTAGGCCTGCATTGGGTCATTTCCACGATAGAAAACCCATATTTTTTGGCCACGTTCTGACTATCAAAGAGAAGCATTGTATCTATAGACTGTTCTTGTACTTAGCCCCACCCACATTTTGCTGGATACATAGAACTGGGGAATCGCCGAATGGTCGGACACATCTCCATCCATGGCAATACTTCCACTATTTCTGAATGTTGGATCTATACTCTAAATGAGGTTTCCATTTGACTGAACACTTCACAGGGTCCACAACATCATTTTTAGGAAGATAGAAATCCTGCTCGTCGCTGAGGACAAAGTTTTACCTCTCGCCTTAGGTCTATGTTAGCCGTTAGTGTGCGGAAGCCAGTTGGGCCATCCTGCTATTAAAGCCCAACAATGGCTTCTTAGTTGGGTATATCTTCCGCTGGATATCTCGACCAGTCGTGGCCGATTGTTGGTTGTGCTTCGTCTCATGCATACGAAATAGTTCAAATACGCAGAGACGCCTTGTTAAGGCACATCATCGGGGGTAGGGGCGTGCCGAACGGGACTTGCCAACCACCCTTCGAAGTATTTGAGGAGGGCCAATTTTTTGTGAGAATACTTTTTTGTGAATGATCATTCGTCTTATGCTTACTCGGCTCCAAAAACACTAAAAACATTCGATAATATTGCTTTCGTAGAGACTGAACTACTAAGAAACAATTTCTATTTCATTCCGGATTGCAGGGTTTAAAAAAGGACCTCCTCATGGAAAAACTGCTTCCTTTGCATATGAATTTATTGAAATTATATATTACTCAATGGTTGCACTAAAATTACCATAGAAAACAAGTAACATTGAAGAGTAGGAATCATAATGATGGGGAAACAAAAAGTTTCCAAACTTTTGACGCGCCATTTCTTGATAAAAATCTTATTTCTCAAATATGATTATGGATTTTTGGAAATTATCCTTCCCGTCGTATTCTGGACTTGATTTTGTATGTAATATCTAAATTGAGACAATTTCGTTATGTGTCGGCCGCGCTAGATCAAAAATAAAAAGTTTCCAAACTTTTGACCGCTACTGTCATAAGATCCTGAGATCGCGCGTGCCCGAGTCCGCCCGAACACCGAACACACGAACTTCTCTGTGATCTTGCTTTATCCTTCTCATACAAGACGTAAATTTTAGTGTACTTCGCCTTAGCGACGGTGCTCTCGCAAGTCTCTTACGGGTTTTGTAATTGGCGAGGTCCTCAGGTCTCCCCTTCTTCTGCCAGCGCTTGTATGCTTCCTTCTCTTCACGACTCGCTGGACCTTCCTCCTTCCAGAACCACGCTGCCTTGTCTCCATTGAATCCACCTCGCGTCTCGCCCAGTACCCCCTTGGCGCATCAGTAAGATGAGCTCACCTGCATTGCTACAAGTCGTATAACTTCCGTTAAAGATCAGAGACCCACAACTCCATTAGACTTAGTTGAAGGCGCCCTATTTGCGCCTAATTGCAAGTTCCACGGATTCTCCTCTCGGCTCTTATCGTGCCCTTCCTTGGGATAACGATTGCAATGCTCGCCAGGAGGGCCTGCGTTGGGGAGCCAATCCTTCTCAGAGAGTACCATGATGCCCTTCACAGTTCTGAAAAACCATCACTAGCGCACTGGCTCCGATTTCCGCCTGTCCTCTCCTCCACTGTTCCATTTTCAACTTTCTGAATCCTACCCTACGACAAAGAACGTGCTGTAGACTACCAGACTGTGGGCTGCATCCAGGTCCACAACCCTCTTTTTCTCAGCGTTCCTCGCTCCAGTGCTTCTACTGCCCTGAACTCTTTCCATTTCTTTTCTTTCAGTGCCAACGTGGCCTTTTAGATCACCTGCTATGGTGAGGTAGTCGCTTGGACCGTGGACCATTGCTACCAAAACGCTGGCCGGACGGGCTTGCACAGTCTAGCTATTGCCTCTAAGAAATTACGCACCGGTAAATCGATTCAAGAAACGATGTAGCAGTTCCAGGTCGGGGCAATCACGGTAGGTTTCCTAGAGCATGACACCGATGACGACGTCAATACCCCCTAAGGGGCTGACCGCCACTGACGGGAGGCTTTCTGACTATCATTTAGGTATACATTTCAGGGATATTGCTGAGTACGACAGTCGACATTTGTGAAGACAAACCATGATTGCGAGGTGAAGCAAAATACTCATTTATTGCCTCCATCCCATGTAAATATTTAATCAAACTCGTCGTTACCATCACTGGCCCCAATGCCCTTTTCCCCTGTTTGGACACCAAATACATCTCTCACTCCTTCAACAGGACCGTCAAGTTGGAGCTCACCAATTCTCTAACGAGAAATAGAACCCAGCACCCCCGTATCATCATTTTTACACTTCTTCTTCAGTTAAGCCCCGTGAGTCATTGCGAGCGAAATTCAAAGGCAGTGAGAGGCTTGGAGGCGGAGCGGTTTCGTAACGTCATTGGCCGTCATTGGGGATAGACGCTGAAAAGTTGGGTGGAGACCAATTTCCAATGCCCCTCCACCGCTAACGTCATCAAAACAGCCCTCCTTCCACCACGGTGTTCACTCCTTTGAAGGGAGCGATTACGATAAATTCAAGAAGGGTTTAGTGGACGTGGTGGTGCTCAATGGTACGCCAGTAGCGAAAAAAGCAGAAAATCCGTCAAGAAAACGCAAAACGGGACCCCCTTTTTTGGCCGTTGGTTTTCACTCATGAACAGGTAACAGCTCAGAAAGTGGACGTATGAACGAGTTCACCGCAACGCGTTTGATGGCACCATGCCAAACACGCTTTAATCGAGATGCTCCATTGCTACGCAGCTCGTCCAAATCAACAAGTAAACTAGTGGGCGGATCGCTTTTGGGGGCGGAGCGCTTTCGAAGTCCTGCTCAGCAACCAGCGCACCTTTCGTCGTGAAAGCGCCACACCTCGCTTCCCTGGCAGCCAAGTAACTGATTCGTGTGGTGCATATGCTTCCCCGATGCGCTCCCTCTTTATCGTAATCGCTTCCTTCAAATATTACCCCATTCTAAATGTAAATTGAGATTCTGCCGCGTCCCTTGAAACGCCCCTAGCGTTCCATTATGTTCGCAACTCTAGTGAATCTATGTGAGTTTGACCCTTTGACTAGTAGCTAGTGTACATGTGTACCGCATCCGTGATCAGAGGCATTACCAAAGTTTCGGGACTTATTGAGACAGGAACGCTCGCTTGATGGCGAATTGCGCACAGACAAGAAATTTATGGATCTTAACTAACGGCAAATCGTCGCGTGCCGAGGAGAATTACCCTGGGTAAGTTCATGAATGAAGTTGTACCGCAGGTCACAGTTTAGTGTGCATTCCCAAAAAGGTCACTTCTGAATTTTGCACCCTCTTAACACTGAATTGGGTATTTGTAAGTGGTAAATAAACTGCCAATTCGTAGTTCGAAAATAATCATTTGAGCGGAGATTATGTGCAACCGCACCCCCATGGTCCCAAGGTCAAACCCAGGAGACGGAGGAGTCCCCCTCGACCGCCGCGCTGAAACTAGGTCACCGCGCGCGACGTCGCCGGCTTTTGAAACATGGCAATTGCCAAGTTTAGGACCCGCCTCTCTAGACGATCGATACAACACTTTTGTTCCGTCTGTGTAGTCCCCATTTCTGCATTTGTTTTTGCTTAGTCCTAGCAAATTGCCACGTTCCAACTTGTAAGGACCGGTAGCCGCCGCGTGCGGTGACCTACTTTCGCTTGCGCGGCGACCTCAGGGGGACTCTTGTCTCGCATCCCAAACCCAGGTCAAATCCAGCGTACGTAAACAAATTTCTTTCGATGTTTGGCTGTTGCTAGGAGCAATAGCTGCTACGCAAAACACATTGATGACTTAGTTTTAAAATTTTCGTAGTTTGAGAGTTAAAGAATTTATAAGAAGGGTGGGTTCCTCGAAACTGGTGCACAGGTATCGCACTCAATCGTGCTAAAGGATCGCATTTACTTGCTAATAATGAATTTGTTTTCTTCGTTGTCACAGTATTGTCAATAATTATTTATTATTATTGTGTACGGTATTGGTGAGAGAGAGACAATTTACAGTACGGCTTATGAAAACCTTTAATCTTTATCGACACATGGTCGAAATCAATTACTGAACGATTAGGAGGCGGGCCAGGGTCAAGACTGGACAGCAAATTCAATGACATTGAATTGAGTTTTGAGATTGGATTTTAATGACTTACTGACTGATTTCTAGTCGAATATAACGCTTGCTGAGCTATGCGTTAGATACGATACGACATCTGAGAACATGGTATTCATTTGTCGATATAGCGTATAGAAAAAATGAAGACGTTCTGCTTTCATGATGGCACATTGAATCAGGCAACTGAGGCTGTGTGTGGACATATTCAAATGAATAAAACATTTTAGAAATGAGAAAAAAAATACTCGCTCAATTCGAATAGTACAACTCGACACTGGACATTACCTAACGGATACGACTAGTTTTTATATGGATTCTGTTACGGCATCCATTACGGCACGTGGAAAAAAGGAACGTACTGAAGCCGTTGATTTCAGAAATCGGCGACAGAGCCGCTGGCATTTTTTGTGAGTGTGGTATTTCACTTGGTTGAGATTATATGCATGAAAATAGGAAAAGAAACCGAGAGAATAGAGATAGATAGAGAAGTAAGGAGAAGTCGAGTAAAGAAGAAAGCGAAAGAGTAATTAGACTCGTTGGTGTTCGAGTTGTTGTTGAGCGGCCGCCAATTGCGCTGATTGAAGCTGATACGTCCCTGGCATGATACCGTATCCAGCAGCAGCTGCGTATCCATATGGATCCAAACCAGCGGCTTGAGCGGCTTGAACTGAAAATGAGAAACAGCTGATGAATTGGCAAGGATTTCATAGTGGAACACCTACCTTGAAATCGTGATCCAGCTTGTGGAATTGCGTACGCTCCAGCTCCTTGTCCGTTGGCAACAGCTGCTGCCAAAGCCGTATAATCAACTCCTCCAGGACTTTGGGCAGCTCCTAGCAGTGGATTCATCAAACCGGCTGACGGATAATACAGCTGTGGTAGTCTGCAAAGGATCACATTCAGCACATTACGTCACTTTCGGTTATGGTAACGCACGCAGCTTCACCCCAAACGTACATGCGTGCCGTCACGAAATCGCATGTTAGTGGCGAAAAGAATTAGAAGAAAATTCGTGGGTGGGGCCGAAAGAGAAGGACTCGTTGGTAGATGTTTGTGGATTTTGAATGACTTCGTTCGTGTGCCCGTCTCCCGTGCCTCACAGCGCCTTGCTAGATGGGATGAGAACGACGAGGAGACGACGAGCAATCGTGCATACAGTGCTACTGCACGTTGGTCAGCAGTCCATTATTCCGTGTCTTCTCGTGTCTGCGACAAACCGGCGTGGGATGCGTGCGGTCGCGGCGCAGCGTGGTCAATGAATCGATTTCCAGCAAAGCTGCCAGGAATGAGACATCAACCATCTTGCACTGGGACCGATCACTCATCGGCATGGCCATCGCAAACACGAACGACTAGGAATGTGGACTGTACAAAACATGCGCTTAATAAATGAGTATTAAAACAGATGACGTCTCCTGGCACTTCACAACCACCTAGCTAGAAGAGGAGGACGGTGATCGGTGTGACGAAACCATCTAGCACTACTATTCTGACCCGATCTGACCCGATTCGACCCGAATCCGATCGACCGCCACCCCACACACAGCATGGAATCAAATCGCACACGCACGCCTAACCTTTTATATCATGTTTCATTTAGCCGTTCAACCATTACGCATATAGCTAAAATGATATGAAATCGTATATTGAAAGGCCCTCATCATCCCAGATACCGTAGTGTTGCGGTATGAATGAGATAAGAAACCAGTACAACGACTCACCCAATACGCGTCGGGAACAGCGCTTGTAACTGCGTCTGCAGCGGCAACTGAACCTGATTCGCCAATGCTGAAAGAGATAGGATAGAGATTAGCTCGGACAGAAAGGAACGCTATGAAATACTGATCAGCAAATCGATTCAAGGAATATTAAGGGAAAACTAGATTCAATGAAGATTTGACGCAGCATTAACTCTCTAGTAACTTGTATAGCGAATAAAAACTAGTTAATTTAGTTACAAAGCGAACGCTTAGCCAATGCGGGATCTGGTGTTCAGTTATTGAGGACAATATTTTTAGACGTAGTTGATGTAGTTACAGGTTGCGCCGCTTACCACGCTCACGACCCTGGGATCGAAACTCAGATACAATTTGGATCTGATAACCTAATCACACAATTTGGTGTTCGTTAGTTAGTGTAAGACTAGCCTGGGTGCAAATCGCTTGGCCCAGCATGTCCTTCTATGAAAGGTATCGCATGAAATGAAACTACGAAGATGAAGTAAAGTGCATAGCGCACCTCAAAAGACCTTCTACTCCAAAAACTCAAGCCTTTATAACTTTTCTCGAAACTCGTGATGCAACAGATTCAGAGCACAGACACCATTCTTTGCTAAAAAGCACCCAATACTTCAGGTGGGCATTCCAGTTTCCAGGAATAGAGCTCGAACGGCAAAGGCCTAGCTGTGTACGTAAAGTTTCAATCTGTATTCTTAGGCCTCTTTCTCGCCACAATTCGATCCCCTTTTCTCTGTTGCAGAGCTTGTATAAGCTCAAAGAGAAACGACAGTAACCCTGTTCTGACGGAGCCAGCTTTATAAACACAACGTAGTGTTTTTGGAGAACGAGCGCGGGCTCCCTTTCGGGCTTTAGTGAACGAGCGTCAGGGCTTTTTATAGCCGAGTGCGAGACAGAGGGATTTGGAACGCGACGGAGAAAAATGGGAACACTGAGGCACTAGCGGGATCAACTGGATTTCATTGAGTCAGGCTTCAGGCTTAGATGACCTTTTTCTACCAAATTATTGATGCTGTTATACGCCAGAGATCTCTGAGGCATTTTGAAATGTTTGAAAAAAAATTAAACATGGCACGAAGTTCCTTTCCAAAGGCTCGAGTGAAGGCAATGGAACCGGTGATGCTACTGGGTACTCAGTTTAGTGAGGTAGTCCTTAATAAGGAAACACGCGCGGAAGAGAATCTATCTATTTTCCGATGTTGATTACGTCGTACCATTTGACTGGAGCGATAAGAGCACATACTCACTTGTTGGCCGGTTCTCTTGAGCCAAGGATGCAATCTCATACGTACTACCAGGATTATGAGTGGAAGTCGAGTGCGTGGCTCATCCAAAGAGCAATGCAGAAACGAAAGCTTCATTCCATATCAGCCTTCGTATCAAAAGCATGTACCAGGGTCGTCGTTAAGGTAAGGGGACCAACCTATTGAAGAAAACTCCCAGTATATCTATGTCAGACGAGCGAGAAACCTCTGTGTCACTAGCTTCTTCTGGCACCCTTTTAGATTTTGGAAAACTATCGAAATTTTGAGTGTCCTTATGAGCACATCCTTTCCTTCTGAGGGCTGTCCACCACTCTAAATCGTTCTTGGAACGCGCTCCAAATAATGGGTATTATACTAAGCTTATAATTTTTGAATTTCCAAAGCAATAATGTCAAGAATTTTTTTCTATTGCTGCGCCGTTCAGGGTAGCTACGACGGAACCGCTTTATTTGATTGTCGTTTTAGACAGTTCGTCGTCATGAAGCACTTTGAAGTGGTTCGCTGGAATGTTTCCTTTGTTCGGACCTCCTGAGAACTGTTGCAGCTACCCTAGCAAGGTGCAGCGCTTGACCGAATGGCCTACGAAACTGAACGAACAGATCGGATACAGATCTTTGGAGGTTACAATTTATCGAAAGCGTAGCCCAAGTGACTTTTCTAAAGAAATACCGGGCTGTCAGAGCAATTATTTTTTCTATTATTACAAACCTTAACAGCAAATTATTTTGAGCCTGAACACCCAGGGGAAGTCGATGAGCTTAGAACATCCGGAAAACGAAAGCTTAGAGCCCTGCCTCGACTTATGCAACCGATTTCCTCTCGCTGAGAGCTTTTATAGGTCTTGAGAGTGCTGTGAAATATGCAAAAAATTTTAAAAAAAAAATGCACACTGATGTCATGTGCAAAGGAACTGAGTTGGGAGACATAATAGTTGCTCTACCGCTTACTGCAATTACCAGCTCCCACAACAATATTTGTGGCTCATCCAATACCAGTAACCTTAGCACTGTTTTCGAGACAATTTTGAGGAAATTAAAGAGAAAAAAAAACAACTACTAGTCCCGAAGAAACTTGATTAGGCACCAGAAAACCCGCTTTCTTCCGCCGTTGTAAACCGGCCCAATCCCGTGCGGTAGCGAAAAAAAAAACTCTGCAGAAAAAAGTGTTTGTCACTTTCCCAGAAAATTCTATACAAGACGAAATATCAAGCAAAATCGCTTTAAGCTTATATTTTCTCAACTCATATTAACTTGGAGCGATATGGACGGAGAAAACTTTCCCTTATCTCAAGAGATAAACGTGAATGTGAAAGAATCAATCGTATTTGGGATGGAACTAATTTAATAGTAGACAGAAGGTATACCTACCGGCGAGTTGAACATTGGTACGTGGTTTTGCGCCTAGGTAGGCCAAATTGACGTTTGCTTTCCGTCCGTCGATGATCGGATTCGGGTCTTTACAAGCGCGTTCGGCAGCTGCACGGTCCTTCATTGTTACCTGAATTTATCTCTTCAAACAATGTCAAGCACAACGAAAACACACGTATACACTAAAATTAGTCCACGTATTCGAAGTAAAACTATCCTCCTAAGAGCTGAGCAAAATTAGGCACTAAATATAACCCAAAAACCCACAGATAAGCCCTACCAAAATTAAGTATGCATAGCATGGAACCTTCGCAAGCGTGTGCGTTGGGTAACTTGTTGTTCATTTAATGTTTGTTGCACAACTCTTTATCTCTCTTTTGCCACCCTGTTGTAATGTTTTGCCATTGTATGAAAACTTTCGTTGGAAAGCCATTTCTGAGCAAAAATTGGCGACTGAGCACTGAAGTATGCGTCTTTCTGGAAAAAAAAATGAAGACGGAATTCTCTATGGAATTTCAGGTCTGAAAGGAATGCTGTTTCAGACTATTCCAGCGAATCAAGCCGAGCTTCGATATAAGGCCGTGAAGGTGTGAGATACTGTAACTGCGAACGGAAGAGGTTAAGTGGTAAGTAGCGCTGCTCACCACGTGCACGGTCCGAGTATCAAATCTTGGATCGAGGGCGTTTAGGTCAAATAAGCCTTCCATCCCTCTGGCGTCGATTAATTGGTAAAAAACTTGTCTGGGTGATAATAGATTTGCCTACTAATCGACTGCCTCTCTTGCAAGTCATCACTTAAACAGACCCAATCGCATTTAAAATGCTGCTGTGAATTTGAATGGACGTAGAATGCATGGCGTGTCACAAAAAGGTATTGTTCGATGCCCTACCCCCAATTCAACTGCTAAGGGTGTGAAGGATTCCACATCAGGTACATTGAATTTTGACAAGCTAGAAGTGTATGTCTTTCATTCTGCTAAAATACAAGGTCATTAGCATCTCCTCGAAGCACGTCAGCCGTGCGGTTCAGCAGCAGTGTTTTAGATACATATCGACTGACCCCTTCAGTACTAGATATGGAAATTGCAGATATAAGTAAGTGTAGCTTGAATATGAACTGGTCAAGTTAACAGCAAAAATCAGCTTTTTCACTGGAACGCCTGAATTTCAAATTCCTAACGCTGCTTTAAGGAGACTGAAGAAAAACCGTAGTGCTAGGTGTTGGAATAAAAGCACTCACGAAGCCGTATCCTCGACTCTTTTGCGTTTGACGATCGGTGATCACGACGGCCTCTTCAATATCACCAAACTGTTCGAAATATTCGTGGAGGGTCTTGTCACTGGTGTGATACGGTAGACCACCGACGAAGATTTTCGTGAACATTGTGTCACGACTTCCTGTAAAAATTGCTTGAATCAAAGTGAACCTGAATGAAAGAGCACGGTTCACAAGAAAGCATTTGTGATGATCTGAAAAATTGGTAATGGGCGCAAAAAGCGTGGGAGAGGAACTTAACCCGGCCACTGCAACTGAAGGGGATGTTAGAGCAGATTTTCCTAGCCAGACACGCGACTTTGGCCCTTAATGATTATTCGTCGGTCATTCTCCATTTCAGGCAGGTGTGATATTAGGAGCTCAAGGAAACTAATTAAATAATTACTTAGCCACCCCCCAGTCCACTTGGTGGCTGGGAAGCCCCGCCCGTGGACGAGTTGCAATTGCCCTAATTGTCCTGGACCCTTTGATCCGCAACTATCTTTCAGCGCACAAAAATTTCTGTAAGCCCAAAAGGTCCCAATTTTTCGTTCCTGCCTTATTCGATATCATCTTAATTCTTACTTTTTTTTACTACCCTTTTCTGTCGGACTCAGGATATGGTCAGTGGTGGCAGTGGTATGCAGCCCTTGTACGTAATCTCTCTAAAATCTCGGGCTTCTTACAAAATCTCCTGCTATGGCATGTATAAGTTTGACTAACGCCCACGGAAAAGAACAGCCCACTTTATTACCATAACAGCCCTCATTACCTTTAATAAACCAGTTCACAGAACCTAAATAGGGCAATATCATTCCATTTCCATTTGAGATGGAATGGAATGGTTCGGTCAGATGTTCTGTAATGCTCTATTTCAAAAGAGCCAATAGAGCCTACCTTTTAGGTTACCACCTTCTAAACTCTATCACTAAACTATTATCTTCTACATAGTAAGCTGGTTGCATAAGTGGATGCCTTTTGATGAAACCCGTGAAATTTTGACCTAATAGCTTTTTGAAGTTCGTTCTCTGTGACCAGTGTAAGAAGGCTTCCAAGCGCCGCAATCATGTCACCGTGTGAAACCGAAATGAGTGCTGAACCGGGTCTCATTCTCGCCACACAAACATATAGCGGGAATGAAACCGGGTTCGGGGGTAAGCGGTCTGGCAGGTTGGCGAATCGCCGCGCACATGACATGGGCAGGCTCTTTTCTCACCTATGACTGAATCCGTTCCGGCGGATGCCAAGGCTGCCGCTGCTGCCTGCACCAACGGATCACTCAATTGTCCATATACTGAAGATGGAAGCATAGCTGCAATTAAAATCGCATCAATGTGAAAAAATACGGAAAACTATGAAATCCAAATCCATGTATTTCTATAAATTGGTAAAAAATAAATAAATTTAATGTCATCGGTGACGACTCACCTAGTTCTGAGACGAAACAAACACTGCACACTGCACACACACACGCACACAAACGTCCCGCAGGGAATTACGATAACCTGTAGAAAGTTTATAATTGGAGCGGATACTGTATCAACAATGACGCGAATGGGAAGTAAAAGTACGAAGAATTACGCGGACATATTAAGGAGGAAGAGGGCAGAGGCAAAGAAGTGGGGAAACCACGAGCAGCGGCGAATTCATAAAGAAAGGGCCAATGGAATGGGTCTTGAAAGAATAGCAGTGACTGGCTGAAGTACCTTTAGGCGATGGGAACGTTTTTCAAAGCAGGCAGCACACTTCTGCGATGTGATAAGATGAGAAGAGAGTGGGAGGAGGTCTAGAGAGTCAACACCCGGCTGACAGCCGCTCGGGCAACTGTCGCAGCAGCATCGGCGCCCGTCGGCGCCCGATCGCTGCCGACTCACTTGCCCAGATGACGAACTGACGGATGGACGTCCAACGAAACAGCGTAACGTTGCTGAAAAGCCTCATGAGCAGCTGCAGTACTCAAAACTGGACCTTTTAGTGATTGTCGTGTAAGTAGCACGTGAATCACCTGCGAACTACACGAACGTTCCGCTGATTTTCGTCCGGAAGTCATTAATGCACTTCGCAGTATAGTTCTTTCACTCCCAACTAATAACGAGGAGGAAGTGTGATTGCTCTCTGGAAGCAGCGGGTCTTCTGTGACGGGACCTTCTGCGGGTTACTTCAACTGATCTATTGCCTCTCGTAAACAAGGAATTGCTTGAATCCAAACCATGTACATGTGTGACGTTCCTGGCTTTGTGCTTAAGAGGTATAGCCTTATTTTGCTATTTTCCTAGCTTGACCGTTGACCCAAGACTCGGGCAACAAAAGGGCAGGGACTCACTCTATCCGCATCTCCGGCCCCAGTTCAGCAGAAATTTTTCAAATGAGGGTCACGGTATCATAACAATGGTCTGATAGTCAGAAAATAATCTGGGGCTGAGCTCGAAAGTGCTGGCGTAGAATTTTCGCGTGAATCATGTGTTTCTTACATCCGAAAAATCGCGGCATTACACAAGCATGCAGGGCGGAGTCGGCGGGAGGCGGGGCGATCCTAAGAGGTCCAGCGCCGATGCCGAGCAGAGCTGAGGCTCGTTGAGGCAGACGACTTCTACATCCTGGGCTTCTTATTACACACTCAAGCCTTGGAATGAAGAATGTTGTGATACACCTGATGTGGCGAAAATCACGTACGAGATCTCGTAACAGATTGTTCTCTTCAACAAAGTTCTTACGCAGCTCGGCTATTTTTCGTCGGAAATCGGAATTGTAATAGTGACAAGAAGCGGTTGATTTATTGGACAACAATCTCTAGCGGTTTTTAGGGACAGGCAGACTTATCGCTATGCGAAAACATATACACGTAGGAGGGCATCAAGTAACAATAGAATATTCAGTGCAGTCAAATCCCTCGCAATTGCCTTTTCGAATGGCTCAGTAACAATCGGAATCGGAAGCTAAAAGCTTCATATTTTCCATGCCATTATCCAAGCGAATACAGTTGAGTAATTATCATAAATAGGTAAAGCCAACTTAGGTTTGAAATAAGAAGACGTTCCGTTTGGATAACGCTACCAATCGTCCTTTAGAACCTGATGAGAACTCCTTGTAATTTCCATGGTAAGCCTCCTTTGCACTGATAGATTCTTCAGACCTTAATCATACAGGGTCATATATAACTACGATCACTTATAATTACAGCTTTGATTGTACTGATAGATTCTTCAGACCTTAATCATACAGGATCATATATAACTACGATCACTTATAATTACAGCTTTGACTTTTTACAATTAGGTCCGAAGAACTTGTCAAATTGTTGTTGATTATAATTACAATACAAGTCATGATCAATTATGATATCTCTCAGTATTGCAATTACGATTTCCCAAAATTCAGCAAAAAAACATATATGTACTTACTAAGACTTCTAACACAAACTAATTTGCTCAAAACTGCTATAAATGTTCATCTATCCCAAAAATTCTCTAATTTATTCGACAAATATTGACACAAATTAATTACTAGTCACATCATTTGCCTGAAGATTTCAAATTTTTATTTTCTTTCTCCAACTTTTTGACTCTAATCTTCACATTAGAGAAGCTATAGGATATGGAGATTTAACTAAATATTCAGAAGACGTGCAAACAAAAAAATATCAAAGGAGAAGCCTCCACTGGAATCATCACTATCTAGTTACCATTTCGCTATATTATAGTACTAAACTGTGCTTTATTGTCAATCGCATTAGTGAAAAAATTTGCGCAAAATTCTCACTTTGCGGGCAGAATGGGGTGCTCAGCTATATATAGAATTGTGCAATTACGGTCTTCCTTCACCAAATTTAACACATCGTTTCTAATTGACTACACAGCTAAAGTTAATAATTGTGACTGTTGTCCGCTTCGACATTTTTTATATCTTACTTAGGTGATAGTTCTTTCTTCTCTTGTCTCTTCTTCATATAAATGTTGTGAAGCAGTAACAAAAAAACGATAGTGAAATTCGCAAATTTTTCTGCTACAACCACCGGATTTCTAGGAATCTTGATCGATACTTTGTGATATTCAAATCATTTGATATCACAAAATACTCGATCACATGGAATAACTGAGTAGCTGACATTGACAGTTCCAAGTGCTATTTTGACGCTACATATGACAGGATTTTATTTCAATATGTATTCTTATGTGCTCAAAAGGTTTGCGCAGGTATGCACGTGTAATTAATAGCTATTGACATTATCATCACGTTTCGTAATAGAAGCCTGTAAACTAATTGCCATTCACTAAACAAATCCCGCAAATTGTCCTCCGTCAAGGGTTATCAATGGGTAATCAATCTCTTATGCTCATCATTCTCTAAAAATAGCGCCATGACAAAGTTAGTCCGGGAGCAATATTCATCAAGCGCAGCGACAATAATATGAAAAATATTTCAGGTTTTGGGAAAGGAGAGAATTATTCTGAGAAAATTTACAATTTACATCAGTGATGAACGACAAGAGCCTAGCGCTTCGAAAAGGACAAGAAAGAAGGAAGAATAACAAAACCTGCCGGGTGAAAGGTGAACGACAAGCCAAAATGAGCAAATAATCGCTAAACTCGATCAATACGGCAATAGTGTTAGCCGATGACAATGTAACAACCAGCCAGACCTAATTGAACTAACTGAACACAAATAATTTCAAGAAGATGTTCAGGAGGGGATTTCAATGAGAATCAGGGGCATATGTGAAGAGAAAGAGGCTGAGCGAGTGAAAAATCGACGAGGTGTTGCCAGATCTTGTGTAAAGCCCATGATTACCACACGGAAGCATTCTGTGCTATTGAAAGTGCTATCGAAAGTGTAATTTGAGAGTTCGGATGAAAAATTCCTGGTCCAAATTAGAAAGAATGGAAAGACAGCTCTGTGTAGTGGTGACTACTGAAAATGTATCGTGGAACAATGAATTTTAAGCGAAATTAGCCGATAGCACTTGAAGATGTCGCGAGTTCAGCGCAACGGAATGAACGGCGGGAGATCGGGGGCGGATTCGAGCAGCGGGACCCTCCTGCTTTGTTCGAGCACAAGTGTCGCCGTGAGGACACTCTTTAGATACATACACACACACTCAGACAGATAGAGGCACGGAGCATGTTGAAAGTGCTCGAACGCTTTTCAAATCCGGGCCCCGAATCCAGACCAAGACTAGAAACTGCTGCAGCGAATCCGGTACAGCTGAAGAGCATCTCCTGTAGAAGTACTCATGGCACTGAGGGGTGTACAATTGCCGATCCAGTAACTTGAAGCAGCAGCAGCATATTTTCATCGTCCGCTCACAGCTGGTTATGTCTGACTGGCAGTGATTGGCGTGTCTGTTTACTCAGCGCTATTTCGCGATATATCCATGCCCAATCGATTGACATCTCAATCATCTGATCCGAGAGGATTGTTTGAGTTTGTCGACGGATGTGAATCTGCTGCTGCTACTGCTGCTGCTGATGCTGCTGCTGCTGCCGTTGGGTCTGCGGCTACGGCTGGCGGTTGCGGTCACGGTTACGGTTGTCGCAGGCGACGCCGGCGCTGGCGACGCTACGGACGGACGGATGGGTGCACGACGCACGTCATTTCGACCGTCATCACTAGCAGTGACGAATGCGCAATTATCTCGTGCTAATATGTGGTCATTGTGGACCGGAAGTAAGTGCGGTCAAATCTGTAAATTTCCGTAAGTCATGGATCTTTTGCGCGCGTAGTCAGCTATTACCTAGTAGCTGAACGCAGGTGTCCATCGCACTACTTCACATTGAAAATGCAAGCGATTCGACCACCGTGGCCATAGCGCGACCATCAACCGAGCAACTGGCTGCCCGAGAGCCGGTGTCCGTCGTGTGTGGCCCAGACCACCACCGTCGCCTTGTGACAAACTGAACGTGGGTGCGGGCAAAACTGGCCTACGCCCAATAACGCAAACATCAGACACACACACGGACACATAGCTTAGTAAGTGTGTGATTTTGATCGATCATAGGAAGGAGATCATTGCACCTAAGGGATTGACTTTGATCAGATTCTTCAGGGGACAATGATAGGGTCTTCGTGTTACGACCGCTAGCCAGTTGCTCGGTTAGTCAACGAGTCATGCGGTGGGATGAAAGCGCGCGCCGCAGTGATTGCGCTAAAGAAGACAGGAAATAAAAGAACTGGTGAAAGCTCAGGGCTATGACGTGCGAAACTCATCTGCGACCCTATGAAGTTCTTTTCTTAAGGTCTTTATCGTAACTGAGGGATATTCTCTTATGGAAGGACGAAGGACATTCTGCCCATTCTGAACGGAATTCTGCAA